TCTCTATGTATATACTCCGTAGTTGTATAAGATTGACCCATTAATTTTTGTATACTAACTAATAACTAAAGCCTAATTAATAATTAATTAATTAAATACCTTAATCTACCATCCATAACAAATACATTTGAGTGTGAGAGATTCACTGACATCACATATTGGTAAAGAAAACGCTCACACGTACCGGCAAATGCTGTTTGTAAAAATATGTTGATGTATACTATGGAGTAACTCATAATTTACTATAAATTGAAAAAAAATTCAGATTATTTAATACTTACTCCTTCCCCAAAAAAGATACCACTGTTCCTAATACGATCTCTCGATAATTTTTGTTTGTTTGTATGTTTCTATTGATAAGTTGATAAAATAAAATATTTTTTCACCCATTGTTTCATAGAATGTTTATGTTAGAGTGCATCTCACACCCAATTCCAAGAGTAAAATAATCGGCATATAAGCTCTTGAGTTAAACTAGTTAATTGATTGAATTCAAATTTTTAATACCGAATTATTTTACTCTTGGACTTCCGATGTGGGATAACACTCCCCCTCAAGTGGACAACTAGGCCATTTTAAATCTAACCAGTTGACCACTTGCAAATGAACTCTCATTCCCTTGATTTTTTTTAGCGCCAACACCTAAAGGACCACGAGCCACTGAATATGGACTTTCAGACAAGCAATCGTGTTAAACGGGCCACATGCCGTTGGATACATACTCCATACGGACAACTGGGCTAAAGACAAACGGGCCGCTAGGAATGAACGTCTAGACGGATACCTTGACAAACGAGGTAGGCCAAAACCTGCTCTGATACCATGATAGAATTTAGGATGAGATATGAATCATTGGATTGAGTAATAAGGCAATTGGGCTGAACCAGATTAAAAGATTGAATCCAATCGATTAGTTAGTTTAACTCAAGAGTTTATATGCCGGATTATTTTACTCTTGGACTTTCGATGTGGAATGCACTCTAACATGAGACAATGAGAGTACTTTTTATTTATATACCACTTTGAAATTACTTGCTCCGTCCTACTATATTTGTCCACTTTCATTTTTGCACACTATCCAATACACTTCTTTAATCCATTTTATCTTCTTTTGCATGTTGTTCGGAAATCACATCATGAGAGGAGGGAGTAGTACTCTAATTTATTTTAAATACGGCTCACCTTTCAAACCGTGTAATGATTTTAATAAGTGCAAAAATGAATGAACAATACTAACCCCATCCCTAGCAAGTTATACTCTATTACTCTGTCTTTAATTAAGTTTGAATGGGGCCTGGTCTAGTGTGTAGTTGGCCTGGTGCCGCCGTGCAGTGTACTACTAGGATACTTATACTCCCACGTCCTAAAAGTATACTTCTCCCAATTTTCTTTATTTTTTATGGTATTCAATATATACTCTATCAGTATTAAAATCATCTTCCCACTTCTCTTTTTTTCGTCCTAAAATTATCTTTCGAAATCCAAAAAAGGGTTGTGTAAAGACAAGTGTACACCAAGCTTATCTCTTCTTCGTCCTATCATTTACGCCACAACTACCGCCCTGTTCTCATTTACGCCTCTCATTTACACCAAGCTTATCTCTTCTTCTTCTCCGCTCTTCGCCTTCTCTCTCTAAATCTTAAATCGATCTATATATCCGTCTCTCTATCTCCCCTTCTTCGCCTCTCTCGGTCTCTTTAACTTCATCATCGTATCCTCTCTGAGTCTTTGTAAAATTTCACTCTTCCATAAAATCGTAATTATAATCTTCATCACCCCACCCACATTTGGATTCCGTGGATTTGAGTTCCGAATCCCAGATGTATCAAATCTCTGAGAGCGAAAATTAATTTCAAGGGTCGAACAAGGAAGACAAGAAGGAAAAAATGGAGGGTTGAAGTAGGGCTGGGTCGGGAAACCCGAAAATCGAACCAAAATCGATCGAAACGAGCTAGAAAAAAAACCGAACCGAAAAAACCAAAACCGAATGTAAAAAAACTGAACCGAACCGTTATATTTTGGTTCCGTTTTGGTTTTTAATTTGAAAAACTAAACCGAACCGAATAAACCGAACTTATTTATATGCTTCATTTTATTTATATGAGTATATGTGATATGTATAAAAATCATATAAAAAATACAAATAAATTACTAGTCGATTAGAGTTTTTTCTTAACTATTACGAAGTAATTAAACATTTTAACCATATTATAAACTTTAAAAAATCTAAGAATATAATCACTAATAACTATTCCTAGCTAATATAGAATTATACTCCCTCCGTCCCACAAAAAAGTTCCCATTTTGAATAGTATTTAGTCAAATATTTACACGCTTTGACTACAAATTGTGAGAAAGGTATATTGAATTATAAAATAAATTTTATATAATTGGATTTATCTTAGAATCTAGTTTTGATATCTCAAATTTTTTTAACATTTCTTTATTTAGATTATGTTTAATTTAGGGTCAAAGTGTGCAACAGTTTGACCAATTTATGCTCAAAATGGGAACTTTTTTGTGGGACGGAGGGAGTATAACATTAAAAATTAATATGAGTAGTTAACATATTTACATTAAAAAAACTTTGATGTTATAATGAAAATGAAAGTATTATTTCAAAACAATACAAATTCTCTACAACTGATTTTACATACGATATCTTTAGGATTATTTGAAATCTCCTAAATGTTTGTTAGGCACTTGTCACATATTTTGTATATAAAATTGAACCGAATAGAACACTAACCTTCTGGTCAGCTTTTTTTGTGTAAAAATCAAGCAAAAAAATCAAACCCAAACTTATGTATTGTTATTTCTTTGTAGTATTTATACAATTATTAATGCTTATAAATATTTACTTTTATAAACCGAAAAAAACCAAAATGAAAACTGAACCGAATAACCAACGGTTTACATATTTTTTATGCAAAATCGAACCAAACCGAACTGCCAACTTACCTTTCGTTTTGTCTTTGGTTTTGGGTAAAAACCGAACCGCCAAAACCGAACCCGGCCCTAAGTATACGTCCTCTAAAATTTCTTTACTCCGTTCAATAATAAAATTTCTCATTTTTAAAACATAGATATATATTATAAAATATAATATATATTAAAATTATATTTCTATTGATATTAAATTTAAACTATAATTCAATTTTTTTTTGTAATTTATGGTCAAGATCTAAAAAGTTTGACCAAGAAAATCAAAATGTGAAGGAAATTTATGGACAAAAGAGAGTAAATGAGAAAAAAGTGAGAAAATGAAGAGAAAAATTTAGTGTTTAGATAGAAAATGATAAGAAAATAATGATAAAAGATGAATAAAATAATGAAAATGGATTTTTTATGCGCATGGAATTTTTTTATACTTCCCAATGGTGGGCTTTGGTGCTTTTTCTATTTATTTCCACACGCCACGAGTTTTAATTTTTGCTTTCTTTAGAGCACGGGCAGTGGCGAGAAAACTCCTTGCCACACCCTGTCACATCATCCCAATAATACATTTGCCTAATTGCCTCGCGTGGCTAAGAGGTTTTGTCATGCTTGGCATGGCAACTGCAAGACACTTTTTTTTTAATTTGTTGTTTTTTGTAATAAAAAAAGATTTTTTTAAAAAAAGGAGTACATCTATTTTTATGAAAAAAGACAAGTAAAATATTATTTAATAATTAAAAGATCTTTAAAAAGTATAAAACGGACAAAAGCACTGAGTTGCCATTGGAAGGAATGTCACTCCACTCACTTGCCACACGCTGACTAGACTGATTTTGATTTGTTAAAATATTCCACATCTCCGTGTGAGATTCCATATTTTACTTGTCATTGCCTATGCTCGTATAGATGTGCCCTTATTGAATGAGAGATATATGTTCCTTTTTCTTGAATTAACCTAGGGATACACTAATATGAGGTTCCTCATTTGTACACCAAGCTAATACAGACACACAAGACACAAAATGTCTGTGCTGCATAGACATTTTATGTCTGTGCGTGTCTATGTTAGCCTGATGTACAAATGGGGTGCTCCATGTTGGTGTATCAATCAAAAAAATATCCATACAAAAAAAATTATATGAAGGAGAGAGGAAGTTAGAGAGGGAAGTGTGTCGATGCAATCCCTTTATGTACAACTTGATGTACACCAAGCACATTTGAATTTAAAACTAAAACTACTATGTATTACTCTTTCCGGTCTTTAAAAAGATGTTTTTTTTGTTTGTCTTGAGAAAAGATTTCACATTCAATTTCTAGAATAAAATTGTGGTTATTATAATTTTCTTTTTTTGCATCTTTTTTAACTACATAATTCTATTTTTCTAATATCTGTGTCAAATTTAAGGTGAAATTTTGTATACGGAGTATAACCTAAATTACACACTACAAGTATGCACCGCCATTTTATACCAGTGTGATTTTAAATCTTGTATAATCAAATCACAAATGAAAATGCTAGGGGTATACCTTGGTGTATCCTAAATGTCTCTCATTCCCTCCTTGTCCACAAAAATAGGCAAGAAAATTAAAAAAAATAAGCAAAAAAAAATCCAGTAAAAATGAATGGTTATGGAGGTGGTTGGGGACATTTGAGGTACACCTTGAATGTATCCCTAACATTTCCCAATCACAAAACCCGTGTTCAGTATGGACGGTGTGCATGTGCAGGCCATTAGTCAAAGCGGATGTGTCCTATCATACATTCATGAAAAATGCTAGGGGTACACCTTTGGTGTACCCTATTTGTCCCTCATCCCCTCCATTACCACAAAAATGGGTAAGAATTTTTTTAAAAAAATTAAATAAATAAAAAGTAAATAAAATGAGTAGTGGAGAAGGAGGTGGGGGACAAATGGGGTACACCAAAGGTGTACCCCTAACATTGCTCTACATTCATACACCATACTCTCTCCTCTCCAAAATATTCCTTATATTTTCAACGTCTAAAATATTAATTCTTTTAAAATTCTTTTGTTTACAAATTTACAAAAAAAAAGAATTTTCACCGTTCAAGAGTATATAAAAAATTCTACAAAACAAAACGTGAAAAGTATTTTATTATTTGAAGTAATTGCTAAAAATGAGTAAATAAACTAAAGTTATCAAGAGACGGAAATGGTAATGGTGCCAACCTTTTTAAAAGAGAGGGAGTAGCATCGAATCATCGATACATTTTCAAAGTTCTATCGAAAATTCTACTCCATCCGTTTATTATTATTATTATTATTATTATTATTATTATTATTATTATTATTATCTTTACTGTTTTAGTAATAATAATTAACGTTATTATCATTATGAATTCGAAATCAATGGATATAAAGAATTTTTGAAAAACTTTTGCAAAAAAAATTTGGTACACCAACTCGATCCGGTTCAATGCTTAATACAATTTCTTGGGCTATAAATATTATGATTATTATTATTATTTTGAATTACTACTACTATTATTTTAATACGGTGTAATTATTACTCTGTATTATTTATTCGAATATGAATGATTCTTGTTTTGACCCAAATAAATCTGATTTGAATGAATTTGATCTGATTTTAATAAATAATAAATACTAGAAATAAGTCAAGGACACGAGAGCCTAACTACAAGAATATTAAGTCTATCCACCCAAAAATTCTATGGTTGGAACAAATTTGAAATGCGATAAAAGTTCTAATTTTATTGCAAATAAGGCAACAAGTATGCTTTATGACTTTGACATCAATCCTGTGTATCATATTATTATACCCATGTTTTTGAGGGCTTTTCGGGTGTTTTTGTTCGACTCCAAAGTGTTTCCTACACTCACCCTCCTACCCTTGTTTCGCAGTTATGCTACAATATTTATTGTAACGTACCAACGATACAAGGGCCTGGGGAGCGGGCATGGGAATTTGTGGGGTAAGAATCATGTCGGAATTAACAGAATATTGTAGGGTCATATTGTGTCACCATGATGAGGGTAAGAAAAAAACCTAGCTCATCATCATCATTATTATTATCATGAAAAAATGGCTGATTACAATTAACAAATTCACCAAACTTGTAATATGCTCAAGGGAAAAATAAGTCTGTACATTTGATAGAGAGAACGAGTTTAATTTACCCGTAGTAATATATTAAAGGCCATATAATGGTGAAGAAACCAACATTGATTGGTTGCTTTAGTGTTCAAGTGCCTTTGGGACTGCTCAGTGGTCAGTGTCCTCCGGAAGGGCAACTCGGTACACAAAGCATCTCCGCTGGGCGAGTGTCGAGGGTCAAGGGAAGGACCGGCCGAAGTAGTTTATTCATCCGCAGTGCTTCTTGAACCACACCCCAATATTTAGAAAGCTTTCAAAATCAGATTGTGGTCTGCAATAGGGAGATCCATCCAAAAGAAAAACTTAGAAACTTAGGCTTATAGAGAATTTTCAGCCACTTGTGTTAGTTTTATGGGGGACCATCGATCCCTCTACGGATTAGCTATCGTGCTTGTCTCGAGCATTGACAGCCCACTCTGTGTTGGTTAATTCCAGTCCAGAAGTTAGTTTAAATTTAAATTTAAAAAAAGGAGCAGTTAGGTAGTTTTCTGGCAGTTTTTGACAGATGTGTTGGTTAGCAACTGTTGCGTTTGTTTGTAATGGTTAAGTTGGTTATTCCTCTACTTAGATGTATGGACACATAGATCTGGACAGTAATACCACAATAAAACACTTTGTTTATATACTCTAGATCCGATATTTTTCTCTCAATTGGTATCGGAGCCCTGGTAGAAAAAATATCAAACACAGATCTGATCACTAGTTCTCTTGCAATACACCTCGAAAAAACAATAGTCTGTGATGGAGGCCATCAATACTAAAAAACAAATGTTGTTACTGTTACCCCAGTTCGAGATGGAGGCTCGACAACGTACCAATGCCTTGTACTCACTACAACAAATTATACGTCTTGGGCTAACAAGATGCAGTCGTTTATGGATGCCCAAGGAATTTGGGATGCCATAGAACCACCAGATGCGACGGAGATGGATGTCAAGATCCAGAAAAAGGCAAGGGCCTTTATCTTCCAGGCACTACCGGAAGACATTCTGATGCAAGTCGCAGGACATGCGGAGGCCAAAGACGTGTGGGATGCACTTAGGGTGCGTTATCTTGGAGCCAATCGGGTTGAACAAGCACGAATCCAAACTCTGAACAGAGAGTTTGAAATGTTGAGAATGAAGGAAAGTGAGAGTATTGATGATTTTGCACGCAAGATCAACAAGATCGTGTCTAAGGTTCGGGCACGGATCGACAATTGAGGAGAAGAAACAAGTAAATAAGTTGCTTAATTCTGCCAAAAACAAGTTCCTTCCAATTGTTGCCACAATAGAACAGTATTTAGATTTGAACACTAAGGCGTTTGAGGAAGCTGTTGGTAGCCTTAAGGCCTGTGAGGAACGGATTACCCCTGGTGGACTAGTCAAAGATTCATCAGATCAATTTGATGAACCCATTTTGCTAATGGTAAAAATGTACAAGATGTGGTGATGCTGAATGAGGAGAGAGTGTTTCATTGTGAATATGCCAAAGAGAACAGCGAGGAAGGCACATGGTATTTAGATAATGGTGCTAGCAATCACATGACTGGGGAACATGGTTATTTTAGCAACCTCGATGAAAAGATAGTGAGACGTGTGAAGTTTGGAGATGGTTCAACAGTTGAAATCAAAGGCAGAGGGTCTATTCTTTATCAATGTAAGAATGGTGACCAGAGGATCATCACCAATGTCTAATGTCTACTATATTCCGGACTTATGTAATAATATATACTAAGTTTGGGTCAACCTGACGAGGTGGGATGCAAAATTCTTATGGAGGACGGTTTTCTTTGGCTATATGACTGATCAGAAGCAACATTAATGAAAGTGAAGAAGTCTCCAAACCGATTCTATAAGGTACGTCTTCATATAGTTCCACCAACATGTTTACTTGCAAAGATGGACGAGGCGGCCTGGATTTGGCATGCACACGACATTTAAACTTTAATGCTATAAGGAAGTTATCAAAAGAAAAATTGGTGATTGGTGTGCCAAACATAAATCACTAGTCACAATTGTGTGAGAAGCTTGTCTCGTTGGGAAACAATGACGTCTTCCATTCCCATCCCAAATTTCTTATCGAGCACAACAACCCCTTGAACTAATACATGCTGATTTATGTGGTCCTTTTACACCAAGTACACCATCTAGGAACAAGTACTTTCTATTGCTAGTTGATGATTTAAGCAGATTCATGTGGGTATATGTTATCAAGTTCAAAGACCAAGCATGTGGATACAAGGTGAAAGCATTGAGAACTAATCCTGGAGGTGAGTTTGTCTCTACCAACTTTGAACAACTTTGCAATGAAGAAGGTATAAATAGGTATTTAACCGCACCATATACGCCACAACAGAATGGTGTGGTTGAACAGCGAAACCGAACTGAACTGTTCTTGGAACCACAAGATCTATGTTGAAGGCCATGAATTTACCCTAATGGTTGTGGGGAAAAGGTGTACGACACGCTGTCTACATCTCTAACCGAATTCCGACAAAAGCTTTGGAAAAGAAGACCCCATATGAAGCCCTGAAAGGGCGGAAGCCCAATTTGGAACACCTAAAGGTGTTTGGATGTATGGCCCATGTCAAAGTACCAACACCCAAATTAACAAAGCTGGCAGACAAGAGCGAGTCAATGGTACATCTCAGGAGTGAACCAGGAAGCAAAGCATACCGGCTTTACAACCCAAAGACAAAAAGACTATGTGTTAGCAGGGATGTCCAATTTGAAGAAAACAAATCGTGGGACTGGGCTAAAGAAAGATTTGGAGACAGAGGGCAATGAAAGACAGGTTGAATTTGTTGTTGAAAATGCAGCTTGTGTGACTGGTTAAGGATTGGCTCAGAATGGTGGCAGCCCACTCAATACCTCGCACAATCAATTTGAAGACCTGGCTCAGAATGGGTGTGAATCTGTTAGCCCACCGGAGAATTGTTCGTTGTCTAGCCCAAACTTGCCTGCTTCGGTTCCAAGCACTTTTATCAGCCCACTAAATGTTCCAAACAACCCGCATGAGTTTGAAAATCTTTTCACATTATGATGATACACCCCCTCGAGGATTTTGCCTGCTAAGTGCTAAATGATGTATATTCAAGAACTCAATCAATGCAAGAGAAGGCTTTAAATCCACCTCACTTTGATGACGCAGGACTATTATTATCAAATGAAGAACCAAGTACCTACAATGAAGCCGAAGATAATATAACTCGCTACAAAGCGAGACTCGTTGCAAAGGGGTATGTCCAAAAACATGGTATTGACTACGATGAGGTGTTTGCTCCAGTTGCCCGAATGGAAACAATCTGTTTGCTTCTATCCCTAGCTGCACGAGATGGGTAGGAAGTTCACCTTCTTGATGTGAAGACGGCTTTCCTACCTGGAGACTTAAAGGAGGATGTATATGTATCACAACTCGATGGGTTCGAGAAGCCGGACAAGGAACATCTCGTGTACAAACTGGTAAAAGCTTTATATGCCCTGAAGCAAGCCCCAAGAGCCTAGAATTCAAAGCTAGATGCAACTCTACAACAACTGGGTTTCAAGCGTTGTCCACGTGCACATGTTGTATACAAGCGAACCACAAAGAATGGACCATTAATAGTTGGTGTATACGTTGAAGCAAACAGGATATGCAACAAAGGTTTTAAAAAGGCAAATTTGTGGGAGTGTAATCCTGCAAAGTTTCCTATGGATCCAAGTCTCAAGCTTGGAAAAGATGAGCGTTGATGCAACTGAGTATCAAAGGAATATTGGGTGTCTTCGATATCTAACCCATACAACAGTTATGCAATTGGAATAACCAGTCGATTCATGGAGTCACCAAAAACATCACATATGCAAGCTGTAAAACAGGTGCTACGGTATGTGAAGGTTACAATCAATTATGGGATTCGATACAGGAGAAATGGCAATGCAAATTTGGTTGGTTAAAGTGATAGCTCACATGCGACTGACCAGGCAGATGGAAAGAGTACAACTGGGATGATTTTCTGTTATGGGGGTGGTCCGATAGCATGGTGCAGCCAAAAACAAAATACGGTTGCACCATCTTCATGTGAGGCTGAGTTCATGGCGGCAATGGCAACCGCATGTCAAGCCGTCTGGTTAAAAGGTTTGCTTGAAGAAATCACTAGTCAAAGCATGAAACCCATAATAATTCACGCGGATAACAAGTCTGCAATCATGTTAATGAAGAATCAGTGTTCCATGGGAGAAGTAAGCATATTGACACTCGGTATCAATTCATCCGTGAATGTGTTGAGAAAGAGCTAGTAAGGATTGAGCATGTAAGTGGTGACGAGCAGAAAGCTGATATCTTAACTAAAGCATTACCAAGGGTCAAGTTTATCGAGATGAGGCAACCGATGAGCATTGAAGATTTGGCAGGAATGAGGACTGGAATCGAGGGGGTGAATGTTGGTTAATTCCAATCTGGTTAGTTTAAATTTAAATTAAAAAAAAGGAGCAGTTAGGTAATTTTCTGGCAGTTTTTGACAGATGTGTTGGTTAGCAACTGTTGTGTTTGTTTGTAATAGTTGTGTTGGTTAGTCTATTTATATGTATGGACACATAAATCTAGACAATAGTACCACAATAAAACTCTGTTTATATACTCCAGATCTGATATTTTTCTCTCAATTGGGCTTTGCACTACCCTAAGGAACTATGAAGGGTGTCCTACAGAATCTTGCCTCGGCTAGGGGCTACAGAGAAACATGGTTAAATGATCAATGTCCACAGTCCTATCACCAATTGGTTTTAGGACAACCATTTAACTTCAAAGCTTTGTAGTTAAGTGTACTTGAACAAGAGTAGTCTCAGGGAGAGGATGGATGACCCACTAAAAAGTTCCAAAAATATGCCGGATATAGGCCAGAAAAGTCCAGAAGGAACAAGAGACAAGAAATCTATAACCCAATAACCCATGTACCATTGGTACCAAAAGTCGAAAAAATGAAAGGCATCAATCAACAAACTTGGGAATGACCTAATACACAGGGACCAAAAGTGAATTTTTTCCCCTTTACTTAAGAGTAGAGGGTATGTTACCTTTCAATCCCATGTGTATCTTCTGGGAACATGATCACCTTCACCTCGACTCCTTTCTCCTTCAATGCATGCGCATACTGCATTGATTAAGGCCACAAACACTTACAGAATGATACTTTTGATCCCAGATCTTCACCCCCCACAAACATAGATACAAAAAACAAAAGAGAAAACAATGAAGCCCTTACTTGCAGTCCCGTGGAAACTGGTACCCGAAGGTCCTTAGCACCTAATAACACGAGTGTAGGAGTTTTAACCTGCAACATTGGAAAGGAACTACATAAAACAGTTGACAAAGAAACTACGTAAAGGCTATGTTTGGAACTCAGATAATGGCATGCAAAGGGAAAACATGACAAGGAAAGTGATCATTTTTTTAGTTCAGACAAAGGACAAAAATATACCCGAGACACGTGAGCAATGGGAGATTTGCTGTAAAGCACGGAGAGGTGCTCAGATGAAGGGGCATCCGTAAACATTGATCTACCCTTCTCACTTCCAAAGGTTTCCACATAGCACCAATCAGGGATATCACTTGTGCCAGCCATCAAAGCCATGTTGCAGACTGGATTCCTTACAGCAGCTGCTGTAAACTTGTCTGGGGCCTATAGAAAGGGCGACATATATTCCAACAGTTATATATTAGTAAAACAGTGTCAGTAATGGTCCCCTTGGGGTACAGAAAATACTAACACTATGTTTGGTTGAAGGAATTTGAAAGGGAGAAGAAAAGAAAATGAGATGGAAAACAGTTTTTCTTGTTTGGTTAGGAAAGAAAAGAAAAGTGGAAGGAAAAGAAAATGAGAAGACAAAATGTACTAAGAGGATGGACAAGCAAATTCCTCCCATTTTGGTGAGGAAAATGAAAGGAAACTATTTTCTTTTCTTTTCCTTCCCAGACCTTGCTCTCGTGGGATCCAACTTAGGCTTTACAAATGGTTCAAATTAGCTTTCCATGGAATTTTTAAACACAACTTCGTTACATACGACCAAACACAATATTTAATTTTCTCCATGAATAATTTCTTTTAGAATAGTTTCTAGGGAATTAATCTCCCTAGATATATAAAACGCGATAAAATACAGAAAAAGGCTCTAAGTTTCAGTTTGAATATAGAAAAAAGATACAACAACAATATTACCCCAGTGCCTCGAAGGCTCCCCTCGCCCATTGTGGGGTAAGTGGGGGTCAGATGTACGCAACCTGACCCCTATGTTAAAACATAGGCTATATCTAGAAGACTCGTGATCAGCGTCAAAAGTTGCATTGACTAACTGTTACTCCAAAGTCAAATAATAGTGAATATTATTTAAGAACCACTGTCAAAAGAAGCACATATAGTTTAAGAACCATTTTGCTTTATTTCATCTTACTCCAAAGCTAAATAATAGTGAAGATTTGGCTCCATCAAAGATGGAAGAAAGCTAGAAAAATGATAAATGGAAAAAATAAGAATATATGGGATATTTGAAAGGAAATAAAAGGTTGGGAAAAATTAAACATTGGCTCAAACTCAACAAATCAATATTAGATGGTTGCTTAAATTCGTTTTATTTATTTTAATTTATTCAGAGTATTATACAAAGATTACGAAATCTAAGAATATGTAAAAAATAATTAATTGTATTTCTTTTTGTTTGCATTTTATCAAGTAAAACCAAACACAAAAGTCCTTTTAACATTTTTTTTCCTTTGCATTTTCCATATTCCATAGAGACATGTAGACGCTCAGGGTAAGAGCCTTTTTGAAGCACGGAAACTGCAAGGGAAAGAAATCTGAAGAATACAGGGAGGAAACAATGGGGGTATTTTTAATATGGAAGAAAAAAAGGAAGGGAAATAAAACATTAAGTCAAACTCAATAAATTTATTTTTAATATTTGTTCTGACTCATTGTATTAATTTATTGCTATCACATAAAAACTGAGAAATCTAAATAATATAGACAATTTACAGATAATGATCATATTATATTTTCCTTTTTCAGTTTTTTAAAACTGTGTTTGGTCCAAGGAATTTGGGAGGGAAAAGAAAAGAAAATGATATGGAAAACAATTTTTCATGCTTGGTTAGAGAGGAAAGTGAAAATAGAAGGAAAAGAAAATGAGAAGAAACAATAAGCTAAGAAGAGAGAAAAAAATTCCCAAACAGATTTGTGAGGGAAATGAGATAAATAATTTTCTTTTCCTTTCCTTCCTAATTACATAAACCAAATATAGCCTAAGATAAAGCCAAACACAAGAAAATGGCTTTCCTAAACAATTGTTTACTTTTCCTTCATATTTTCCAAGATCCAAACACACCTTAAAAGATTTTGCTGTAGAATATTTATACCTGGCCAATCAAGTGTGTTGTTAGGAATCCACCATGGGAACCACCAAGGACAGTAAGCTTGGATGGATGAGCGAGGTTCAAATGAACAACATGATCAATAGCAGAGATGACATCATTGACATCCTAAGGGCATGCGAAGAAATGGGGGCATTAGGGCTTCAAAAGTTAATGACCCCTTTCATAAGTAAAGAAATATACAATATTGAACATAACTAGTACCAACCTGGGATCCAACTTTCCCCGGAAGAGATTGCAGAGCTTCCTCTCCAAATCCCAAGGAGCCTCTGAAGTAATAATAAAACAAATTATATTAAGATACACTTCGATCAATAGAATAATCCAACTTATAAATGTGGTGGAAACTAGCTTAAGCCTCAACTAAACCTCATTGCATTGTGCAATGAGGCATAATTTCAGATTAGTCAAAAAACAGATGATTTTGTCATAAAGAATAGATGAGTCGTGTAGCCTTCTTTGGAAGTTTTGAAGGGATGGACATTTATAAATATAGGCCCAACTAATAAAATTCTGGAAAAAACTATTGCTTAAACCGCAATTAAACAGTTTAAACCTCATAGCATTGTGCAAAGGGTTGTCAATCCCATATTGCACAAGCCTTGCCATTGTCTGTTTTAAGCATGCACATTTCTCATAAAAATTGTAAAGAACATGAAGATGACTTTATTGTGCAAATTACAAACATTGGTCATGAGGATGATTATTACCCAAAAAAATCCCAAAAAAATAGTTGGTTTAATGATGTTGATCCTTAAATCTGGTGAATGCTGACTGTTCCAGTCGTAAATAAACATTAATCCACTGGTGGCTTAGCTGTCATGAGCAACATTGGCAAAGAGTTCTTCTCCAACTGCTAGATTTTTTTTGGAATTATATGAAATGATAGAAATAATCTCATATACAAAGGGTCTGCTGACTGCTGTCAAAGTGAATGACTGAATGTTCTCAATGCCAAGGGGCAAGGACCTCAAGCTAAAATACTATGGCAGAAAGTTCTTACTTTCAAGAACGTTAGCAGATATGCAGTATAAAATGACGCAGGAAGTGATTATGGTGAAGTGTCTTAAACCTGACAATTAGCATAACTCTAGTTTGATTTGGGTTATGTCGTGGTAGACTCTTGGGGCCAAGAGGCAAATTTAATTAACAATTCCTCAGATAGTCAGATGTCACAAAGACCAATACTTTTCAAAATTTATAATGGAGTTATATATCAGCTAGTTTGAAAGGAAAAAGAAAAAGAAAAATAAGAGAATCATGAAAAACAATCATGGTAACATAGCATTGATGTTTTTTATTTTTTTTTTTCAAATAATTTTGTTACAAGGACATCTTAAACATTAGATAACTGAACATCAACTTTCAAATTCATTTAAATTACAAAATGAAGGAAACCTTGGTAAATACCTGTAATTTACAATCAGCAAGCTAAAACCAAGTGACAAAAGAAAGGCTAAGGATTTTGAAAAGCTTGACAATGAGACTGAATGAGGACCTCCATGAAGTATTACAATCATTGGATCATGCTCATCTTGCTTCTTCAACTTTGATGACACAAATATTGCCTCGTAAGGTTTTGTGGCACCTAAAACACATGTCAACATTTTACACCCACATTATGCTGACATGAGACTAAGCATATTTAAGATAGAATGCTGTCTTTTTAAGACCTTTTGTAAGGCTTTCAGATCTATCCGAGACTGGAATCTTGATTATACTAAACTGTTTGGATGAGAGTAATGAACGAACCTGTGAGGATTTCAAAAAAACAGCATTTTGGACATTAAAACCACATGTAGAGTGGAATAAAAACAAAGGGACAGAAACAGTTGAAATTAAAGATTTAAAAATCCCCAGAGAGAAAAAAAGTAGATGAAATCATACTCTCTACGTCCCTATTTAATGTTCTCGTTTACATTTTTGTACGGAATTTAAGAAACGAAATTGTGTGGTTGAGAATTGTTTACAAATACGGACCAAACAACTCTTTCCTCAAAAGGAAAATGAAGAAAGTAGATTAATAAGGAACAACACAAAGAAAAGCGGGAAGAAGAAACACCAATGTGTCCACTCTCAGAGAGTATTATATCAATAGTTAAAATGCATGTTATAAACTACACATAAACAAACCTTCTCAGAGCACACAGATATTGGGCTTTCAATATCTAGCCAACTCCATGTGGCTTCTGTAGATTCCTTTCCAACAAGACCATACTTAATTTTAGGAACATCAACAGGGCTGCTACAGACTTCAGACAAGTTCACAAAGGTAGAGCGATTCATTTCCATTCAGAAAAATAAATTATCAATAAATAATCAGATGAAAGTTTTGAAAATTGGCTCTAACCAGCAATTATGTTATCTCCATCTAGTGCAAGGATGTTCCAAGAAAAGTTGGAGTTGCAAGGGCTTATACGAGCTACCTTTCCACTGTCAAATAAAAAACATGTGATTAAGAGTTTGTTTGAAACTATGAAAATGTTAGGGATATAAAATAGAGGGGAAGTTTAAAAGTAAATTTGGTTGGGGGGGGTTAAATCAAACAAACTATGGAACAGGTTTATATTAATATCAAACTGAACGAATTTTGATTATCAATTACTTCAAATTTGAATTTCAAATTTTAACAAACAATGAAATCTAAATATATGTAAAACTTTTTTAATAAAATAAATCAATGTAGTTTTACTTTGTGCTTTCCAATGAAAACCCAAATATAAAATTTAAAAATAAATCATTTCCCTTTCCCTACCATTTACCAGGTTCCAAACATAGCCTAAGAAAAAGAGGGCAATTATAATGGCAATGATGTAATATAACACAACCATGTTTTGTTTACCTTAAAATGTTTATGGAAAGTACAACCTGAGTGCTACCCCAGTAAGATGATAAAACCAAAGTACGACCATCAGAAAGCCATGGCTTACTAAGAATACCAGAGCAATAAAGGCCTGGGAAGCAACCATCTTCCGCACACATAATAGCAGGAACCTACATAAAATCAAAGACATGCATCATGTTTTTACCACACTTTATGGGATTTACTGGGTTGGTTGTTGTAGTAGTAAAGTAGAGCTTACCACATCGGCAATACTGGAACCTTGGCATGGTCTTCCATGAGTTGACCAATCAATTTTATGAAGAGAATTTGTTGAGGAATGTGCCCCAGAATCTACTGAACTTTTGGATGATAAAAACACAAGAAACATTCCATCTGGGCTGGAATTTGGACTACATAATTAGTATAATTTATCCCTTCCGTCTCCAAAAGAAGCCTTGTTTGGAAACTTATTTGTAGTCCTATACTCCTATTGCAATAAAAAGAAGCTAATTTAATTCAGTTAAATGTAAGTGTTAGAGTGCATCCCACATCGGAAGTCCAAGGGTAAAATAATCATTATATAACTAATTGATTGGATTCAATCTTTTAATGTGGTTCAGTCATGTGTCTTATTGATCCATACCCCATTCTATATTCTATGTTGGTATCAGAGCAGGTCCAGTCCGTATTAGATTCTTCCTAGTTGTTAGATGCGGATTTAGCAAAAAAAAGAGCTACCCGGCCGTTGTGTGGGCTTGCTATAAGAGGTTGAGATGCTAGATCCGTTTGTCCAAGTGCTAACTAGGTCAGGATAGTTAGCACTTGAGGAGGAGTGTTGGAGTTCCCACATCGGAAAATAAAGATGAATACTACTAGCATATATAGAAGGGTGAATCCCTACCTATCAGCTTAAGCTTTTGGGTTAGAATAACGGATCCCGACTTATATGCAAGTGGTTAATTTTAAATTTTTACCCGACACTCCACCCGTTGTTCTCGACCCACCGGAATTTTAACATGCTGAAAATAAAGATGAATACTACTAGCATATAAAGAAAGGTGAAGCCCTACCTATCAGCTTAAGTTTTTGGGTTAGAATAGTGGATCCCGACTTTTTACGTAAGTAGTTCATTTTACCCGACACTCCACCTGTTGCTCTCGACCCACCGGAACTTTAACATGGTATCAGAGTCTGATTTTAGCCCACCTCGTTTGTTAAGGTGTCCGTCTAGACATTCATTCCTAGTGGCCCTAGTCTTTAGCCCAGTTGTCCGTGTGGAATGTATATGCCCGTGTGGAATGTATGTCCAACGGCATGTGGCCTGTTTAACCTAATTGTTCGTCTGGAAGTTCATACCCAATGGCTCGTGGTCCTTTAAGTGTCGGCACTCAAAAAAATCAGAGGATGCGAGTCTATTTGCAAGTGGTCACCCGGTTAAATTCAAAATGACCCGTTTGTCCACTTGAGAGAGTGTGTTAGAGTGCATCTCACATCGAAAGTCCAAGACTAAAATAATCGGTATATAAGCTCTTGAGTTGAACTAACTAATCAATTGGATTCAATCTTTTAATGTGGTTCAGTCCAAGTGTCTGATTACCTAATCCAATGATCCATACCCCATTCTATATTCTATCAGTAAGTTTCCCAAAAAAGTGTTCACACAAATTAAATATGCTAAATTTAGTATAATAGACAACTACATGTAAAAATAAAGGTTGGATTAGTTATTTACAAGAGATGTACCATAAAGATTAAAATAATTGCACCTTAATGAAATATGATTCATTTTCTTTTAAGGATGGAATAAATAGGAATAGAAGCTATAAGTTCTAAACAAGATGAAAGTTATAAGGATTCATGTTGATAGGGTCATCAGCGGTCAGCGAGTAGCTCGGGAGGTTTTGAGCATAAGTCTTTCTTTAAAGCCCAAATTTTGAGAACCATAAAAAGTGGTTCATTTTTTTGTTGCAGGTTTTAAAAAATAACATGATTAGTATAAGTATGAGTATTTTGGTTTACCTTCACGAACTTTGGAAAAAATACATGGAAAAATAATGACTTCTCTTGGTCAAACTTTGCAAATTGTGACTATAATATGCAGAAAAAGTAGATTGATTTATAACATAAATTTATCATCATTAGATTCATTTTGAAATACGGGGCTGTTCAATTGTCACCAAGCCTCAGCGTCATATTATTTATGTATAAGTATAGAAATTGATGGTCAAAATGCTACATTGGAAAATGCTACATTGGAGACCATGAAAAGTCAAATACGAAGAAAATTTTAAATGGAGAGAGTATAACATTACCATTGTCCTTTAAACAGAGTATGTTTGGACAAGGTGCAACTTTTAAAATTTTAGCAAGGTACAACTATTAGAAATCATCAGTTATAGCAACACCATTAAACTTGTTTGTTGGTTCAACTAAATTTAACATATTTAATTTGTTGTTGACACTTTTTCCTATAAAAAATAATATAACGAAAACTAGGTCGTTTGTTCAAACAGGACTATTTTGGATAAGTTAAGAAACAGGATTCTTTTATTGGGCCCCTGAACAGTGTAGATAATAAAAACTGGTTCATTCTTCCATTAACTAATTGTGTGGTTGGAGAGAAAGAGTGAGTGCACATACCTGAAACGGGGAAAGAATGCACTACTAATGGTTTTTGTAAGTTTAACCATAGTTTCATCATAAGTTCCCTTAAGACTGAAACAAGAGATAAAAACATCAACAACGCAATTCAAAACAAAGATGAGTATAGTAGAAAAAAGAAAAGAATAAAAACAGGTAAATAATCTGAGACTTAGATAAGTGTTTCGACCCTCTAAATATAATTTTATTTTTTATCCTGTGAAAAATATCTTTTGTTATTAATCCCTGTAAGTTATTCTTTATTTTGAATCCCTCCCCGCCAACTTATATTTAAATAAAAACTGATGTGACTCCTCTAGCTTTCTACATTATTTTTTAAGACCTAAATATGTTAAAGGGACCTGACTTCCAAACGACAAAGTCCTTGGAAAGTCACAGGACTCGCATTTGAGCTTTGCAGCAGTGTTTTCATTTTAGTTCCATGGGAACATATTTAAGCATTTTAAAAATTACACAGAAATGCCAAGCCAGAATTCTGTGAACCACATAAATTCTTTTTTTAAATAAAAAAGAAAGTTTTGAATTGCGAAGATAGAAAACACACTATTTTTGCAGGAATGAAAAACATATACTACGCATAAGACAAAATTTGATGATTTGAGCACAAAATCAAATTGGAGTAATATTTCAAGTAGAAGCATTTGTCATTAGTACTTAACTTACCCAGATTGGTGAGCTTCTGGTCTAGAGGTTGGAGCTTTGAGAGCATACAAGGCACACGGTCTATTGTAGCAATATTTGATTCCCAACTTTCTAGTATCTGATGGCCATCCAACAAATACCAGATGTTCTTGACAACCTTCTACTTTAGGAGCCCAAATAACCTGTCCAACACTCAGTGACTTCCCTATGCCTTGAACAGGATACACCTCTTCACTGCAGAAAATAAATGAATAAAACTAGATGTTCAAGCATCCATAGCTAACCCAAGTTACCTGGTATAAATTATTTGTTGGTGTTCTTGTTGTTGTTAACTTGTTGTAGATGTTCAAGCATTCAAGGACGAAAAGCTACACAATCTAAGAGTGCGTTTGGGATGACTTATTTTCAGAGAATGTATTTTTATAGGAAGATTGTTGTTTGTTTGTTCTAACATGTTTGTATATTTTCTTGAGTCAATGGTCACTTGCAACAACCTCTCAATGTTTTTAGCTAAGGCCTAAGGGTAAGATCTGTGCACATCCACCTTCCCCAAACCCCACTCGTGGGATGTAACTTAATTGTCGTGCTTCTTATAGGAAGAAAAGCACTTTTGGTGTGTTTAGATAACCAAGTGTAATTACTTTTCCTTGCCATTTTCTTTTCTATTCCCTTCTGAATTACTTGAACCAAACAGACTGTAAACGAACTGCCCAAAAAATGAAAGAAGTGCCTTTACTTCTAAAAACACACTTATTGTGCTTGCGTAAGAAAGTGCTTAATTGAGAAAGCACTTCTTATAAAAACACTGATGCTAAGCAGCAAGTTGATGCTTTTATTCCTTTATTTTTTAAAAAAAATCTTTAAGTGCTCAAATGAGTTCCCACTTTATGTTTTCTATGAAAATAACCCTCTCTAGTAAGCAAGCATATTCTTATATTCTCACAGCAGTAATATCAATTAAAGCAAAAATAAATGTAGAAAACTTACCTGTTAATATTGATGACAAACAAAGCAGGTTGCCTTTTCCCTGCATATGTCTCTCCCCAATCTTCTTCACATAGTCCTTTTCCTTTCCAGCTGCCACAACCATTATCAGCCCCATCCCCTCCTTTGTAACCAAAGCTAGTGAATGTCGGCTTGCGTGGGATAGGTTCCTCAGCAACATATGCTATTAAAGTTTCATCACAGTTCCATGAAATCCCCTCAAACCTGGCACAAGCAAACACCTCTAAAGTCATCTATATATTAATAGAAATTAAAAAACAAAGACAAAATTAGTCCCCAAATTATTAGTTTTACAGCTTTTGGTCCCTAAATTATCCTTGAAGTTATTATTTAGTCTGTCATAACTTCCAAACAATCAAATTCTCTTTCTTCCAAATATTATCAATATTCCTGTGAAATTAAAAGCATAAAGATAGAGCAGACAATGAAAATATCACAGAAATTCAGAAAGATAATATTTCCCTTCATCACTTAAGAAAGACTGAGTTACAATTGTGTTGTTAGTCTATGACATATTTTTGGACAATTTTATTATTTCTATTTATGTGCCTTTGAACTCTTTTTTTAGGGTTGCCTTTTATCTCATTAAGAAAAAGTATTTGCTTTTGGAATGCAGATTTTGTTAGTGTTTGGTGACAATATTGATAAATTAATTCAGCATCCTTTGTAAGTAGCAGTTTAGATTATGTGTGTTATATATTAATGTTTACTCATAATGGGGGACTAAAAACAACACTTTTGTGATACTTTAAGGACTAAACATGGTGACAGTGACACTAAAAACTAAGGTACAGAGTCTACTATTTCCCCACACTTGGAGGCTAAAGCCTAAACGTAACATTTTAACAAATAGAAAACTTATGGAAGTGGTATTAAGCTATTGATGCACCACAATACTATCAAGTGGAATGACAAGGATCATATTTTAAAAAATGTATAAATAGATTGAGGAAATACCATCCATCTGTATATACAGGTCCATGAGTACAGCGAGGAACATAAATTTCCTTTTCCATGCGAGAAGGTCCCCATATTTCAAAGTGAGTCGGCGAGTCATTATCCAAATTACGAATGACGAGAAGTTTTGATCCTGAAGGTGATGGAACCATAACAGAGGCGCCGGTCATTTCAATCGGGAAACGGTCCCACTGAAAATGTACAGAAGTGTCTACTCCTTTTGAGATAGTATTTGATAGTATATATCTCCTCTTTTTGTCTTCCAAGAGATTTGGTTGGTTGACCAAGAACATGCCCTGTGAGCCTTCTTGCACAGAAAAAAATCAATGACACTTCATGAATGAGATATATTAGGGCATGTTTGGATCATGGAAAATGCTAGAGAAATTAGAAAAATGATAAGGAAAGTCATTCTCTTATGCTTGGCTTTACTCTCGGAATTTTCTTTCCCTAGTATAAGTATATTCTAGGTTCCACACAGACCCTTAATAAAGGGAGGCAAGAGATGCACTTAGTTCAACGGATAATGATGTGATGATCCTCACCACTGGTAGAACTGAAAGTCCAAGCCTTTTCAATGGTGGGAATAGCTATGAATTCTTTGAGCAGTTTTGACTGAGAAGAGTATTCTTCCTCATCACATGCATCTATGCCCAGAGGCATTTCTCTTGGAAGGGCAGTTTGAGAATTTTCCATTGGTAAAATAGCTGACTGGTACCTGCTACAAAGAACACATCAACCAGCCATGAATTGTCATTAAAAAAAGAGATGATTAATCAGCATTGGCAACATAAAGAAAAAAAGAAAATACGAAGTATATATTGTGAAATCAAGAATGACAAATTATGATTCTTTTATTTCTTTTTCATTTTTTAATTCCCATTGCTGGTTTATAAACCAGATGAAATTGCATGGGCAATAGCCATTAACTTTCTCACACCTAGGAAGCAAGTGACCATTAACAACCTAGTCCACTCTAATGTAAGGGGGGAAAGCAATTTCATTCAAAGTTGTTTCCTATCTTGGCTAAGAGGGTGTTTGGGATTGCTCAATTTTTTGAAAAAGTGATTATCTTTACCACATAATCTAAAAGCATCTCAGAGTAGCTTCTTAGCTTCTGTTTTTAGTCTCTAAAAAAGCCGAGAATCATACTTTTGCAAACATTCTAAATTGATTCTATTCAAAGTAGAAGTTGGAAATCACTTTTAAAAGCACTGACAAACACCTCTAAGACAAACACCCTCTAAGAGGGTGTTTGGAATTGATTTTAGAAATGATTCTCAACTTTTGCTTTGGAAGGAAGAGGTTTGGAATGCTTGAAAGCAGGGCCGGCCTTCAGCATGTTCAAGCTGATCGACTGCACAGGGCCCAACAATAATGGAGGGCCCAAATTTTTCGACAGTGCACCTGTGCCACCCTTCTTTTCCAATCGAGCAAAGATTGGGAACTAATAAGAGGGAGTAAGAAACACGAATTCCGTCCGCTCAAAATCAAAAGCCTTCTTCTCCAATACGGAGTAGTTTTTTCTTCTAATTTTTAAGTTTAGAATTTCCTAAACTCTTATCAAAGTTCCAATTTTTATTTTAGTTTTAATTTCTTTGCTAGAATTCATTTTCCTCTTATCTTTTTATAGAATCTTATCATAGTATATGTATAAGACTATAAGTACGGAATTAAACTTTGCTTGATATTTATTTTAAGAGGATTTTACGTAAATAGCACTAAAACATAATGACTTTCCCTAAATAGCACTGCATGAAGTTTTTTTCCCAATGTAGCACTTTTAGTCATTATGCATTAGTCATTATTCAAGTAAATGTTTGCCATCACTGGTCATTATGAACATTATTAAGTGTTATTTAGGGAATAAAACAATTTAAGTGCTATTTAGGGAAATGACTTAAGTTTTAGTGCTATTTAGTACAAATATTTCTTATTTTAATTTAAATATAAGATTTTTTACTTAGGTTTTTTGACTTTTGGAAAATTTAAGAAGTCATTTTCTGAAATTAATTTTTGTCATCAAAATACTTATTTTTGTCTTTCATATTGCTATTATAAAAAAATATTCATGACAATTTTTCTTGAGTTCTAATGCATGACTACTACCTCTGTCCCAGAGTATTTGTCTAGTTTTGAATTTTTTCGATCAACTATTTTTAACCTTTGACCTAAAAAAATAAGTCTAATGGAACTATTTTTGTATTATACTCCGTATAATAAGTCTAATGGAAATATTTTTGTATCAATATCTAATATCATTTTTATTTAATTTGTGGTCAGAGTTTGCCAATTTTGACTAAAAAAGATAAAATTGGACAAATATTCCATGAGGGAGTATCTTTTACTTTTCTAACTTAATTACACACAATGGGTCAATTTCGCCATCATGCTTAGAAATAAACATAGTTAATTTTTTCATGAATCTAGGGTAATAGACTTTCGGATAGTGAAGTCAAAGGAGAAAGCATGCTCGTTAATAATTAGGTATCATCAATTTTATACTCCATCCGTCCCGTTTTAAATTGTCTGTTTTGACTTTTGGGTATATTTAAGGAAAAGAAAAAATAGAGTTGATTTTTTGAAATTGCAATTATTTTTTAGAAGGGGTGACGATGAATAAGAAGATAAGATTGAGAAGAGTGACTTATTTTAGGGGTAGTTGAGATATTTTACTTTTAAAAGTTTACGAAAACAAGTAATAGACAATTTATTTTAGCACGGAGAAAAAAAGCAAACATGTAATTTAAAATGAGACACGGAGAGTAAATATGTAGTATAAGAGAGCCACAATATCAGTCTTGCACCGGGCCCTCTTGGCCTTTAGTCCGGCCCTGCTTGAAAGTGTTTGTTTCGGCTTCTTTGGAGATTGAGAAACAGAAGCTGAGAAGCACCTCTAATGGCCTTCTAAATTTTGTTGTCAAAATCATCACTTTCCAAACAAAAAAAAATCACACTCAAACACCCTCTAAGTTTTCAATTTTAAGCTTTCACCTGTTGGAGATCCGCAATAATTTAAGATTAGCTTGGATTTACTAGCTAGTTCAAACCAAAATAATTAATTTATTATTCTCTCTTTAATATTTTCTAATACTTCAATGTGGGGCCCTAACGCTCCCCACAAAATAGACTCTACACTTATAACCTGACAAACAAATTGAGTGAAAACTTGCTCTCATACAATTTTACTGTAGCATAACGGCGAAATGGAGAGGAGGAAAAGGTAGGGGGTTTGAGGATGGGGATAGGAACCGCTTTTGGGGCCACTAGAGTACCGTAGGGGCCTCAAAAGAACCCCACCGTAATTGCATATAGTAACAACATTACAGTAATAATCATAATATAAAGTATGGTTAATGGTTGTATATGTATATTAGATAACTAGCAAGAGATGCACTACGTGCATTTGGTGCCCAATGTATTTAATATTTGTTCTACTTTTATTATAGAAGGAACTAGGGAAAACAAATTGAATATCTTGGAAGCAGATTTTACACATTGCCAAATAATAGCACCTGTTTACAAAATAGAGGCACAAAGCAGCTTATATTGTTTAACTAATATTTACATGTGTTGTACAAGGAATATATACACATGGTGCAAAACACAAAGGAATTTGGCACACTTTCAGGATTTTGATATTGCCATCAATCCGTAATGTTTTCCTTTGGGACATATGTCCAAACAATATCTAAATTGTAAACTATGAGAGTATGAGTAGATCACACAATTGTACTAAGAAAGGATTATATTGAATTCTTGATTAAAGAAGGAATAAGCTTTTCATTAATGTTGATATGTTGTTTGGTTAAACAGAGTAGCATTTAAAGAGATAACTACTATTACTACATAGATTCAGTTCCTAACCTTAATAGAGCAAGCAGCTAAGTCAAGAATTTGCTTTGCATGAATAAAATATTCTAGCTTTCCCAAAAAGTGCTTGTTGTAAACATCGACTTACTGGTTTTTCCACAAAGGTAACCCAATCTGTTGTGCTCTTTTTTCTTAGATTCTTCATTGACGGAGACCAAGTTGTTTGTGAACTGAATGGTCTATGTATATATAGTTTTTTATTATAAAAATTAGAAGATATTAATAAGAGGTAAGTTAAAGATTAGTTTTTTGAATTATATGAGTTTGTTTTCCTTGTACAGAAATTGTGCTACAATGCAGAACATCACATTGGAACAAGAGAAAAAACCCTTATTTTTTTAGAAAATGTTGTGAAAGTGAGATGTATACAAAGTAAACTGAAGAAAGATCCCTAAATACCAAGTGAACTAAAGAAAGATAAAAATGGAGAGAACCTAAAGTAAACTAAACCAGAGCAAGATAGCAAACAAAACAACTCACTTCTCCTTAACAAAACTAGAAGTAAGAAATGAAATTTAAATGTGACTCAATTCTAAATTAAGGAGTACCAAACAAGAAATCCAGAAATTTAAAAAAATAAAAATAAAAAATCAGAAAAACAGAGTATCCCATTATACTCCAAAAAAGGCAATAGAATTTTTGAGTACTTTCATAATTAAGGAAAAACTGTGGGATAATACATGTGTTCTTAATTGGAGATAAAAAATTCAGGTGCGACTTTCTACCATTGTCATTCATTTGTTCCTTTAGATATGCATACTAAGAGTCTAAGACAACTAAGAGTGCACTGAAACCAAACAAACTGAAGAAAGATGAAAAATGTCTAAAACTAATTTTTAAAACAAATCTCTATAGCTAAAAAGGTGAGAAGAAACATAAATATTTAAAAAGAAATATTTCAAATTAAAAAAATTATAAATGTTCTAAAACCAAACAAATTGAAGAATGAACAAAAAGTTATAAACAAATCTCTATATATGAGAATGAAGAAAAGTAGAAAACCTCAAAGCAAATCAAAATCAAAGGAAGGTAGCACATAAAACAACTCTGTTCTCCTTGAATGGACCCCCCAAAAAAAGGATTTATTTCAAATATCATCAAGCTGAAGTGGTTTAGCTTGATTGAGACAAAACACTTTGTTAAATTATACTCGGTCAATCTGCACTAGCTAAGTGAGATTCACTCTTTTTTTGTAATCAAATCTGTAATTCCCCATACTTATGTTAAGAATCCTGGAAATAGGTAGGATAAAGACTTTCTATAATGGTAGTCAAAAAGGCATAATCAACTTAGAGTTGTATGATTCTAATGAAAAATTTACAATTTCGATAGCAGTGATGTTAACCCCAACACAAAGTGTTTGTATGTGAAAGATGGATGTCGAAGAATCCGAAGTATTCAAGTCAAAGTGTCAAACACTACCACGAAAATTTGAAAACTTTTCTTTTTCAATTTGTTTCTCATGCTCAAATCAATTGCATGTCCCTTTGAGCAAGTAAAAAAGCAACCTCGAAGGCTTATAATCATAAGACGATACTAAGTGGGAACCAAGCCTATGCAGGGATTGGTTCCAAGGAGTGAAGGAGATGCCTCAAATGCATTTGATTCGAATTGCCACCTAAATTCACTAAATTGGAAAATCAAACTTCCAAAAAGAAACATAGAAGTTCAAAATTTAAAATCAAATGTGTGCCCTAAAGTCTAAACACAAAACATCCAAAGATTGAATCTGGCTCAATTTGAACTACTTAATACGAGAACTAATTTTTTTAAAAAAAAACATGTAAACTTAGAACTGAAAATCAAAGGGAAAAAGACTAAAGTAGGAGTAAAACATTGAAAATATATCAAAATAGGGCTCCCATGTTTTTATTCCCGAAATAGGAGTTAAAATGCATTTACATTACTAAACCTGGTCATGTACGTTACCAAAAAGTATAGTAATGTGCATGTGTTACCACAGTGAGAACTTCTATTTCGGGAATAAAAACATGGAAGACCTATTTTGGTACTTTTTCTATGTTTTAGTCTTATTTAGAGTGATTTCTAAAAATCAAATGATGCCTTAAAACTCAACTAAGAAGGATTAAAGGAATATCGTATGTACCAGAACCTGGGTTTCGGACGATACTTTTGGGGTAGTGGGTTTGATGCGTGATGAAAGAAAATAGTTTGGGTTTCATTTGTAGTGAGTTTGGGATCAAACCTACATGCGTTAACTAAATAACAAAAACGTACAAAATCAGACAAATGCATTGGACCATCAATGATCTCAAAACCTAGAAGAAGACTAAAATTGAATACTAACAAAGTTCAAATTTACATGCGATGAGTTTCCAATTTTATGCACAGGGCTAAAATAGTAAGAGGTGAGTTGGGATAATTAGGGAGAGTTCTATTACTTGGTCATTTCCTAACAATATAGTAGTACTTCCAACTCGATTGTACTCTTCATAATTCCTTGACCAATACAATTACTCATTCTAGATAATGAAGACCTTCAATTAGGGCAAAATGGAAGAAACAAAACTCACATTTGACAACAATCAGAAATCGGAAGTAAAATCGAGTTTAGGAGAAGAGCCAATAGAGATGAAAATGGGTGGGGGCATTACCTGAACAGAGAAAATAGTCTGGCGGAGAATGGACGAAGAGGGCGACGGAAGAAGAGTTTCGGGCGGAAGGGAAGGGATGAGAAGAAGGTACAATTCCGCCGCTGAGGAGTGGATATGGTCAGGTGACTCAGGTGGTGGTGGTGGTGGGAGTCCATTCATCCGCAACTCATTTCCTGTGTTTATTTAAATTTCTATTTTATTACTTCATCCATCCCTTAGTTCATGGTTTTGATATACGTAGTATTTATATTTAAAAATGTTTCTGATCTAATCTAGTTTGATTTGATTTCAATAAAAAAGTAATAAATAATAAAAATAAGTTGAATAGAACATGACCCAAATCTCGTTCTGATTTTTATGTGATTTAAGGAGAATTTTTGTACGAAGTATTAACTTTTCTAATATATTTATAATGGGATAGGTAGATTATTAGTAAAAAGTATGGCGTGATAGTTAGAATAAAAATTAATATGGGTAAAATTAGTTTTTAATCAAAAGGAAAAATGATTTAGGAACAAGAAAGGAAAAAAAAGAAGAAAGACTTTTAGAGATAAAAGGAGTAATAGTCTAATAGAGTAAAAAAATTACGTAATTAAATAAGACTAACATATGAAATTTATATCAAAATTAGTCCATTTATCTTTTTATTTTATTAATAAGAGTGTTGGGACTATATATAAGTTTAGTAATTTTGTATTGTACATTACATTTTATATGGAGTAGTGTTTTTGGCATTATAAATCATATTTTGGTTAAAAAATAATTGAAATTCATACTCCCTCCGTTCCACAAAACCCTTCCGGTTTTGATTTTGGAGAAAAATAAGGAAAGTGTAATTTTGGTTGACTTTCCAATTTTGACCCTGATGTGATGGGAAAAAGTAAGATGTGATAGTTTGGTTATTAGTGATAAAGTATGATGTGATAGGTAGGGTATGAAAAAGTAGGGGTAAAAGTGGTTTTTTAATAGAAAGTGGAAGTGTTTTGTGGAAAGCAAAAAAAACGAAAGAGGAAGGGTTTAGTGGAACGGAGGGGGTATTTTATTACTCCATACTATACAAGTCATGTTTGAGGTCTAGTTAGGTGCTCCTCCCTGATTTATTCACCGCTCATATGTATTCTTTCAAGTCCAACACAAGTTTTGCGGTTTGACTTTATTGAATTTATGAAAAGTAAAGTGTTCAGAGAAAATTTATTTGAAAAAAGACACAAATTACTTCCTTAAGTAGAAATAAGAAAAGTAGTACTCCATATAAAATTTGTTTCGAGATGTGTGAAAAAAAAAAGTATAAAGTTTATTTTGGAACGAAGAAAAAAAATATAAAATTACTAATTACACAATGTTTTAAGCTCGACCCCTTTTTCAAATGAGATTTGGTATGAACTTTGGGACCTATTTTTGTCCAAGTTCACTTAAAAATGGTCGAACGGTCAAGTTTAATTTGACAAATACTTCAACTCAAGTTCATCTCTACTATGGAACAGTTGCTCATATTCTAATTTTAAAAATATGAAATATAAGAAACGTTATTTTAACATTAAGGATGTCCAACCCTTTTTGTCAAAGACGACGATCTCCCGAATCACAATGTGTTTATGAACTCATGTGTTTAAAATAGAAAATTATTTCCAAGTCTATGGGACTTTTCTTGGAAAATAAAATGATGAACACGATTCTATGATTTTCTCAAATCCAACAATATTGTTATCAGAGTGAAATAAATAAAGCTCTAATCTAATTTATCAATAGATAGTGAGACATTTGAGAGTGATTTAAGGAATTGAGACATTAAAGGTGACATTTGATCCACTCCCAACATTGGTTGTCCTTGAGGTTCCAAACAAGAGGGATGGTTAATGGTGACATATGTGTATCCATCAATGGTTAACTACTTGCTACCACTAGTGATAATTATTTTTCTAGCATTAAGTGATAATTAATTATTGATACAGATGGAATGATCATATATGCAAGTATGTTAAATCCACATTTTGCATTAATTTTACTTTTTTTCAATATTTTAGACTATACACATACACTATTTATGTATAACAAAAAAATAAATTGTATTTCGTATTAATGACATAGAAACATATCACATTTTTGTTTCAGATAAATTATTGAGTATCTTAAAGTACATTTTTTTATGCACGCAAACTTGGTGTATAGATAGTTTCCTGGATGTGAACATAATCAAAGAGAATGATATTTACACTTCAATTTTTGGTATTAACACTCTAAATTACACTCTTCACTCACTCAAATGAATAGTACTCACTTTGTCCCAATTTAAATTCTACGAGTATGTTTCAGTTTACGATGTTTGACTGAAATTATTTTCAAATCATTTTATATAAAAAATGATGTAAAATTACATAAATAAAAATTATATACTCCGTATATAAAAACTAAATCAAAGATCTACAAAACTAACAGTGACATAGGTATATTATATTATCAAATGACTAGTAAAAAATAATAAAAGTAAAATAAAATTTAACCCCTTAACATTTTAATTTGGAACAAAAGGAGTGTAATTTCGAATGTCAATAGCGAAAAATAAAATGTAAATATCATTTGGTATCCGATAATATAAAAACATATTCACATGTTTACTTGGTCGACTTTATGGAATACAACAATTAATAATTTTGGATCACACAAAGCCACCAAACTTTGTTGCATATTTCAATTTTGGTTGGCTTCATTATTCCAAAAAAACAAAAACATCTCGAAACCACGCATGCTTTTTTTTCGTGATAACATACATTTACACGACACGACTCAAAAAATTGAAATAAACCAAAAACAATAGCATCATCATCATCATAATAATAACAGTTCTGAGTGGAAGAAAGCCCCAATGGAATGGGTATTTCACGATACAAAAAAAAAAAGAGAAAAGAAAAAGATTTCAAAACAAATTTTTGTGATTCTTGTAAATCTGAGAACCCAATCTTGCAAAGAACCTATCTTTATCAATTCCCTGCCAGAGAGACACAAAGATCTTCAAATTCCACTCATTTCATATCACTTCTTTGGTTTCTTGATCTTCAATTCCCACAACCCAATCCTCTGGTTTCTGATCCTTTCATTATTCTCAGCCTCTTGCATGATGACAAGAACATTCTGCAATTACCAATACCAGATCCAAATTAGCTCCATAAATCTTATCATAATGAATAGTTTTGAAAGAAACCATGTTCCTAAACTTGCCAAGTGACCCAAAAAAAGATCATGTTTTCATAGCTATTTCACCAAATTTCTCAAAAATGGAGCTGTAATTGTGCTTCCATTTATGTCAATAAACAAATTCAACAAAAGCCCAACCAAAGTTGACACCATTAGAGACAATCTTGCATTGTATATGAAACACTAACAGTGTAAATCTTGGTTAATTATTATATAAGGTTTTATAAAAACTTACTCCCAAGGGACATCACCAACAAGCATCAAGTCACCATCTTTGTCCTCATAAGCAGGTGCATATTCAGAGCCTTTGTAGCCCTCCCTCTCAGAGTACTGACCAATGGAGAGCTTAAACATGGCCTCCAAAGCCTTGAGCAGGTCTGGGTACCCACTGTACACATTCAGATCAATCTTTCTCAGGTATGGAGCCCCATCCATGCTCACCTTCACAAACATTCCACTCTCAGATGAATCTGCTGCCTTCTTCACCTGCAGATTGTTCTTCCTGTATGATCTCACTGGTGGCCAACCAATTATTGGCGCCCTGCAACAATTCAATTTCACAATTTTCCCTTCAGTACTCATTCTCAAACCAACCAAAAATTCAAACTTTGCAAAGACAGTCACTGCAATTGTGTGCAAATCAACTCTAATACATGAGATTTTTGAACACTAATTCAACTAAATGAAGGGTTTTATACCGAAATAATTATAAACCATAGATATATCATGAAAAAGAAGAAGACATGAGAACTTACTTGGAAACTGGGGAAGTCTTAGCAGAATCATTGTTGGCCTTGGATTCACAGTCCTCTTCACCACCTGATTCAACAAGAAAGGATCTTTTGTTCTTGTTCTTGGGGCATGAAGCCATTTCTTTCTCGCACTCTTCAGTTCCGGGCAAGCCCAGTCTTAGCTCGGTGGCCCTCAGATTCAGATCGCTCTCCATCTCCACTCCTCTCTGCTGATTCTTGGAATCAAAGACTCGAACTTTACACCACAAATCTAAATCTTTTTGAGAATCTTGAAAGATTGGTTTTTTTCCCTATAAAACTCTCTCTTCTTGATAAAGAGTGGGTTTTTTTCTCTCTTTTTATGATTGGATTGATTGCTGGGTTCTGAGCAAGTTGCAAGCTGGAGTATAAATGGGGTGGAGGGATTGATGGGAGACTTTGCTCAATTATTTCTTTAATATTTTTGGGAAGAAAAAAATTAAATTTTTTTTCTGGTAGAAATGCATGAATTTGGGGATAAAGTCAAGTAATGGTGTCGGCAGTAGGAGGAGCAGCTTTAAAGGAAATGCTCTGTCATCGCACCTTCAGGGGACAGAAATGGGACAAAGGGTTAGCTAGCCCATGTGGGATGATTATGGAGGGCCAATTGGGAATGAACGGCTGAGATGTGTTTGGTGGCTTTCTTAGCAAATCTTGGCCGTTGGATGCTGTTTAGGTGGAAGGGGGAAAAAAGAAAGTTGAGGGAAAGATAAAATCGTGGACTACAATGTACAAAGTCACCAATTAGTTAACCACACATCACCCCAATTGTGGAGTACCCTTTTTAGGAAAATGAATTTTGGAATTTATTTTCTTTAGTTTTTTTTAATATTTGGTGAAATTTGAGGTGATAGATTTTGACTTCCAACTTAAAAAAAAAAAGAAAAATCAGTCAAACAGAAGTGGAAAATTTTCTTTTATGCGCATTCTGGATTGTCTTCATCCATGTCTCTAAATTCATCTCCATCTTGACATATGAGACATAGAGATATTGAATAATATGATTGTTTGCATATCTTGCAATGCAATAGAATGATCTCTCATAGTCAATTAATATGATGAGCACGAATTTTTTTTCTCCAAATTTACATGATGTTTAGATGTCCTGGCTTGACTCCTAGTTATGACTTATGAGTATCAAGATTTGGACAGAAAATCTACTCATAAAATCGTAATCTCCACTTTGATAATGTGACGTATTAAGGGCGAGCGTGGTACGGTATGAGATTTTTGCTTCGTATTGATACTGTACCAAATATTTCAATTCGGTATGAAATTTTACATCTTACCATTTTCGATCTCATAGTATCGATTCGGGATCCCCGTATCGGTAAATATTGGGATAAATATATATACATACTTAGTTTACACTTTGAAATGTATAAAACTTTTTATTTACAAAAATCGAAAGTATATTCAAGTAAATAAAGATAAAAACATTTAAAAATGAATAATTAAAAGCAGAAAAATGCTTATAAAACTTAGTTTAATTTATACTTTGTATTTCACAAATAAAAGACAGTGAATGATAATAAAATAGTATTTCAAATGTTTGTTAATTTTTTTATATTCATCTACAAAAAATTAAAATTCATATAAAAATTTATTTGTAATTCATCTACACTTGAACCAATTTTTCAAGATCAATTCATTATTTTGTGAAAAAATATAAAAACATTACTATTTTTATAACATATTTGTATATATATGTTCGGTTCAGAATTTTTCGGTATAAAAACTTACTTCGTACCGATTCCAAATATTGGACCAGCCATTCGGCTCAGTACGATACTATTCTTTTTTGGTACTTTATTAGTTCGGTATTTTTTCGGTTCGATAATCTCACTTTTTTGGAGAAATTTCATGATCGATTTGGTACTTGCTCACCCCTACGATATATAATAAAAAGAAATCACTCTAGATGGGACCAAAACATAGAAAAAGTACCGATATAGGAGTTTTATGTTTTACTCCCTCCGTCCCCCAGTTTTTGTCCACTTTTGACTTTTGAAACTGTTTATTTAAGCACTTTAACTCATCAAATTCTCTCAATGTGTAAGCCTAAATATAGTCATGTGTGATCTTGTTTGATTTGTCTTAACATATAGATTATTAATATATAATTTCTATAAATTTTTAATATACAAATTATTACAAGATAAAATGGATTAAAGAAGTGTATTGGATGGTGTGTAAAAATGAAAGTAGACAAATACTCTAGGACGAAGGGAGTAATTTTCTAAATATGGGTTCACATTGTTGTAATGTGGCACTGTACATATGCATTTTACGTCAAACATTGTCATTAATCATGATTGGTAATGTAAATGCATTTTAACTTATATTTTGAAAATAAAAACATGGAACTCCAACTTTGATATATTTTCAATGTTTTATTTCTACTTTAGTCTTTTTTCCTGTGATAAAAACAAAAATACTAAAGTCTAGGACTAGATGTGTCTTTACATTGAAATTAAGAAAGTAAAATTTAAATCGTGTAAGTGAAGCTAAAAATAATTTGGGTTTGTTTGAAAGTAGCGTTAGATTTTAGCGTTAGCGTTTTGAAAAAGATATTTACGAGAAGCGTTTAGGATTAGTGTTTTTTAAAGTTAATTTATACCGTTAAAATTTTATCCAAAACGCTAACGATAATTAAAAACGTTATTCTCAAACGGCTCTTTATTTGAAAGCCATATTACTAGGTTTAAAATATGAAGTATATTGATATGAAAAAAGATTTGAAGCATATAGATAATATGTGTAGTTTTGAAAAAATTATATTTATAATAATTATGAATATAAAACTGTTCTAAAATTTGAGTTTAATACCTACCATAGAAATTAGAGTCTATAATTTAATTACATTGAGTCATGGACTTGAGTTTAGGATGTGTTCATCTCATCCTGCTTAAGCGTGCATAGTGGGGCGTGGAGTTCTCCACAAGTCCACTCGCGCCAATCACGGCTCTAATTACAAAAATCATATCAAATAAGGCTAAAACATAGAAAAAATATCAAAAATATGACTTTTATATTTTTATTGTCGAAATAAGACTTCAGACTGTGATAGTATAGCATTGTACATGTGCACATTACTATATTTTTGATAATGTATATGATCATGTTTGGTAATGTAAATGCATTTTAACTCGTGTTTCAGAAATAAAAATATAAAAATCCTATTTTAATATATTTATGATGTTTTACTTCTATTTTAGTTTTTTTCCCCTCTAACTTCCATCACAGTATGCGTTAATTTGGTTGAAAAGATTTGATATATGCATGCATTTGGTAAGCTAATATCTCGTATTTCATTATGCATGCATTTGGTAAGCTAATATCTCGTATTTCATTATAGAAAAATGCTAGGGGTACACCAAAGATATACTTCATTTGTCCCCCACCCCCTCCTCCACCACATAAATGGACAAAAACTTCAAAAAAAATTAAATAAATAAAAATTAAATAAGAATGAGTGGTGGAGAAGGAGGTGGAAGACAAATGGGATACACCTTTGGTATACCCCTAGCATTGCTCTTCATTATCATCTCTTAATATAATATCTCTAAAAATGTGTACGTAACTAAATTGAATTTAACTTAACGACATTTTAACTAAACTAATATAACTAAAAATAAGTTACACAGAGAGAAATTGATGAGTAAATTTTCAAAATAATTCTTTCTAATATGGTATTTTTTCAATTCAGTTCTCAATAAGCAATAATTATGTACGTAGTCTTTTTCAATTTAATATTTTCTAAAATGGTCTTTCTTATCACATGAGTGGTTTTAATTCTAAATGGAGTTGTATAGATTTGGATACATTTTATTTTTCTATATCAATATTTGTTTAGATTCTTCAAAATCGAGGATTATTCTAAGATCAATAATCGATTATAAATAGACTGGAATAATTAAAATTATAAAACACAAAAAAATAAAGAAATCATCATACGTAGCACTCTAAGTCACTCAATACTACGCATATAGCACTCCTTACTCCTTCACCAATGTAGCACATAAAATTTTTTATTTTCTAAATAATACTTGAATAATGTCTAGTGGTGGAACCAATGTCCATTGTCCACTGATGGTGAATATTTAGCTTGAAAAATATCCAGTAACTGTGAACATCTACTTGAACAATGACTAGTAGACATTGAACAGTGATACTACATTGAAAAATAAAATTATATGGTACTTCATTGGAAAAGTCACTATATTTTAGTACTTCCTCTGTCCCAAAAAGATTGGTACATATTAACTTTTTGGAAAATTAATGAAGAGATATTTTGGTGTTGACTTTCCAAAAATACCCTTGATGTGATGGCTAAAAGTATGATTTGATGGGTAGATTATTAGGAAAAAGGTATGATGTGATAGGTAGGGTATAAAAAAGTAAGGGGTAAAAGTGGTTTTTTAATAGAAATATAATGGACTTTATGGGACGCAGTTTTTTTGAAACGTGTCAGACTTTTTGGGACGGATGAAGTACTATTTAGGTAACTTTTTCTAAGAAAATTTGTCCAAAATTGTAACCATATCATATATACTCCTTTTGTCCTAAATTAATTGTTCGTTTTTTATCCATCCAAAATCAATTAGCATACTCCGAACTTCTTTATTTATCTAGTACTCGGTATTCCGTGACAAAGTAAATAATACATGGTCCATAATGTTGATTTTTTTTCTTTTAAACAAACTTTAATCACATATCTTTTTTCTTTTGAATATTGTTTAAACTATATGAAGTCTACTAAATGATTAATTCATGGCGAAACAAGTAGATCTAATTAAGAAAGATTACCAAGATTACTCCGTACATGTTATCGAGGACTGATCCCACAAGAATTCCTCCGATATCTTACCTTTTCATACACATAGATGATTAAAATTCTAAAGTTTGAAATTTAAGGCAAATGAATAATCATTATGCTTCTAAAATGAATGACAATTTCCAACTTATATTGAGTCACATGAAAAGATCCATTCATGTTTTTAATTATGGAATAAATAAATACTCCGTAATGCATGAAAATAAATTGAACATTGAGAAAAAAATCTATTCACAAATTCCTCACTCATATTTCATATTCCCATTATATTTATCTTGTAAAATATATTTTTTCAAAATATTATTTTATGTAATTAATGTACTACATGATTTGTATCCTTTATATATATAAAGCAGAGTCGGAGCTATAAGAACGTGACATTTGGCAGAGCTAAAACACGACATGTGGCGAGCTAATGTGGTGACATTTGGCAAAGTTAAAGCGCGACATGTGGCGAGCTAATATGTCACCCTTTTAGACAAACCGATCGGTTTCACC